ACTGCAATCAAATTATTCAAATAATGGGATGTTTCTACATGAACAGCCTGGAAGTTTAGCACCAGGAGTTTGAACCGTGAACGGTCCTAAAGACCCGGTCAACAGGAGGAAGAAATAGGGGTAAACTGGGAGAGGTCCAGGACTGCACAGACCATGCTAGTTTGGACTTCAACTAAAGGACAGCCAGGAAGGCCTGCCCTCAAACCATCACAATAAGCCAAACGAGGCATACCAAAGGTTGAGAAACAGTGCTGTAAACAATAGCTTTAGGGATTCGTATACGTGTAGCTTAGTGACAGCTGAACCAGGTCAATGAGAAAAAAAGAGTTTAAAGCTACGATAATGGGACCAAGAAATCATATGTCAAGAGGAAACTGCTAGTCGCTGTGGTAGAATTATAGAGTCTTGTGATACTTGAAAACACGAGTGGGGAAAAGAACCTTATTCCCCTCCTAGATCAGGAGGCCGAGACAAGGAAGTTTGCCTATCCCCTTTCTTGCTATGTAACTGTGCTCACTCTCTCCCTCCCCCCGCCTTCCAAGGCTGCTGGGAAGGGACAGCTCATCCTTGGCAGATGTTTGAATTGATCTCATCAATTCAAAGCACTTTGGGGATTCGCTCAAGAGCCCTAAGATGCCCACCTTTTCCATGAAGAGCAACTGGTTTATTGTAGCCCTGTATAATCTTTAATGGGGTAGAGTCATCCAGTGCGCAATTAGCCTGAGTTGGTAGATATCTCTCCTAGGCTGCTTATTTTCGTCCGGGCTTCCACAGTTCAAACACACACGTGTGATAAATGGACAAGATAGACCTCATCTTCTCATAAGTAAAACATCAACTTTGTCATTGCTCTTTGAATGGAAATAAACTCAAGTTTACTCTGCTGGAGATCATCCTTAGCTCTTATTAACCTGAAATTACCAATAAAAGAGAATAAATGTACCTCAGGGTTGAACTGTGGAGTCCTTGGCATTCTCTGAGCTCAGAGGACACCATAACCTGACATTCTAGGTATATTTTAAAGCAAGAGCGTGTTAGTCTCCCAGGGACCTGGACTTTCAATTTAGCAAAGGGGATTTTCAAAAGACGTGGAGTAAAAATAATTCTGCAGGTGATTGTTGCAATAATTCTGCAGGTGATTGAGCCATCGTCTTGGATCCCCCTTTATGCCCTGGAAAGATTTCCCAGCCTTCCTCAGGGTAGGTACAGTTAATACAATGTGGATAGGCCTGGAGTGACTTTGGAGCTGTACAGATGGAGCTCAACTTTAACGAGGAATTTTCTTTCATGCCAGAGAAAACTAGCAAGGTGTAATGGAAGGCCTATGCGAGGAGGATACTGGAATGGAGGATCAAGGTTATCAGGAGGGAGGGGGAGCATTCCTGAGGAAGCACTTCCTCAGCTGGCAGTAGGACCATGAGAAGGTGAAGAAGCTGAGACTGGCCCCTCCCTGGAGTCTCATGGGATATAGCCACTAGTTGCTTTAGCATAGGTTGAGTCTGGCGAGATTCTGTCTATTAGGTGCCAGCTAATAAAGGAACTATACAGGACTGGACTGCCTCATTGTCATTCTTGGGCCGGGCCTGACATCAATCTTGCCAGACTCCTACTCCCATCAAGAGGGAGGAAATTTTCAGCATGGCTACAGATCCTTCATTCCAGTATCCTCCTCGCACATGCCTTCCATTACACAAGGATAGCCTCCAACTTTATTCTGATCAGTGGGGTGAAGCAGACACTGTAAGGGGAAGAGCTATCTTAGTCTACAATATCTAAAAGTCAGAAGACATGCATTTGATGTAGCTCATGAAAGTTTATGCCTTCCAATAAAATTTGCTATCAGATTCCTGCTTTTGGGTGTAAGGCAGGAATCTGACTGGCATGATGATGGTACAGCAGGCCTTGTCTTATGGTTGTTTTAGAACTACTTTGTAAGTCTTAAAGGGATGCCAAGATGGTGTCTTGTGGTGTAGAAGGTTATGCTGGCATCTCCATTGGCATTCAGACTGCATTTTGGTCTGTGAAAGGAC